GATTAGGGGATTCCTTACCCAACTATTAACACTCTGAACACTAGGGCCCTCCATCTCGAGGCTTGCCCTTTGACTTGGGTAGGAGATCAGGACCCCTGCTTTCCCTGAAAGAGCCCACTGTAGACAGAACCCTTGGCTTTCCATTCGCTGAGACACTGAGTTATTTCCTCTCTCCAGCTCTCACCATTGAGCCTTCCCTTTCCCTTCCCTGGAGAACTGACTCACTGCTGAAGTGTTGGGTGACACTGAGGATCAAAGATGGGGGATAAAAATACTGACTGTGAAACTCGAGGAAGAGGGATACAGTTTGGACTGAGACAGCTTGCTGGCCATGAACTGAGGCTGAGTGTTAACAATGGCCATGGCTTCATCCCTTTGGGGAAGTGGAGCAGAGGATGGAGTTCAAACAGAAATTTACCCGTGCTGGATTTGCTGTGGAGCCCCTTGCTGTGCCCTTTTAAAAGTTTTTTTCTGAGAAAGGCAGGTACTTAGTCCGACAAACATGGATCACAGAAGCCTGGGCCGTTACTCCCACCAGTCCTCTGCAGCCTGAATGGGGGCCCTGAGAGCACGGGTGTTTCTTTCTATGTTTTCTCTCCAGTGAAAACAGCTGTACTTTCCTAGTGTGGGAGTGGTGAGGGAAGCCACAATGACAGAAGCAGGCCCTGGGCTGGCCACTGCACTGACACGATGGACCCCTTTAAGAAGGGCTACCCGAGATTACCCTGTGTGCAGTGGTGAGAGCAGCAGCCCAACTGCTTTCCCAGATGGAAACTCATCTTCTTTCACCCAACTGAGTGAATGCAAATGAGATTATTTTCTTCTTCTAATTAATCTTCATGGGCCTCTCAGGTCAAGTAAAACAAAATATAGTTTTCTCTAAAGGTTGACTGCCTGGCCAGGTTATAAATTACTCAAGATGGGAACAGAGAAACTCAAGAGTGGAGACAAATATATGTGTGTACCTATATGAGGGTTGGGGAAGGGTGCAGCTGAGAATGTCACAACAGGAAAATTCATGCTACAAAACCTTAATTCTCCAAGAAACTAAGGAAAAAAGGAAAAAAAAAAGCCTTAAAAGCTGCTGGTGCAATTCCATAAGACTGAGAAACTTGGCTCATCAATGATGGTTAGTTTGCTTTTTAAAGGTGCCTCACCCACAAAGTGCTTCTCCACAGACAGGAACCTTCCCCTACATGTGCACACACACACGTGAGTTGTGCCCCTCTCTGGGAGGGCATGTGGCCCAGAAAGCTCCCTAAATTTCCCTCGACCTCAGTCAGTGAGTTCCTGGCAGAGGGAAGAGGAGGTGCTAGGACACTGCTGCAGGTTCCTGGCATCAGAGCAACAGCTTATAGAAATGTAAACCTCCCTACACAATACACCTGCCCACACACATCCTCCGAGTTACTGTGGAGAGGCTGGGGAGCAAAGGCCAGACTCTACAGAACAGTCCAGTCACCTTAGACAAAGAAGATGCCCAGTGACTCCTTCCCTGCTTGGGTCCCTACAAGTGTTGGCAGGAGCTGCCCTATGCCAGTCTCTGAGTGGCACAAAGGAATTGCTTCCCGTGCTTCCCAAACTCACCCTGGACAGGCAGTGGGAAGGGAGGCGCCAGCAAGCCCAGGGAGGCTTTTCTCAACCGATCATCTTGGGAAAAGCCAGATAATAATTTCATGGCTGGAATGCAAGGGTTGTGAAATGCTGAAAGCAGCCCCAAAGAGGGCCAAGCACTCTCCTTCTGGGAAGGTGGTGGGAGGAGGGCTGCCAAGGGAATGGGAGAAAAGCAGGTTACCCAGAGCCTGACTTTCTGGGAAGCAGGAAGTGAGGTCTCAAGAAAGAAAGAAAGAAACTCCCCAGCCCTGTGGTGGTGGAGGGGCCAGAGATAGGGTTGGTTTTACTTCTGAACATGAAAAAAACAAGGCTATGTGTCAAAAAGTAATTCTGGTATAAATGAGCCAATTATGACACAGTTCCTTATCTCTGGGATTTGGAAGCACCCAGGCTTACGGCATGTCCTCCCTAGAGTTAAACATTCACAGTGAGCTTCTAACATGGGACTTTGGCCTTGTCCTCAGCGTCATGTGAGGAGTTCCTGCTCATGCTCTGACTAGTGCGATGAGGTCCACCAGTGAGGGTCACTGCTACCTCAGAAACACAGTCTCCTGTGTTCCTCACGAGCCCCCTGAGGATGGGGAAGAAAAATCACACTGTGTTAATGACTGATAGACTGCCCTAAGCTCCATCCTTTTCTGACCTTGGAGAAGTTACTTACTAGCCTATTTATACCTTGGTTTCCTCACCTGTAAAAGGAGGATAACAGGATTACCTACTTCACAGAGTGACTAAGAAGATGAATTAAATTCATATGGTATAAAGCACTTGGAACATTACTTGGCACCTAGGAGGCACCATTTAATTGCTAGTTGCTGCTGAGATATGAAAAGATCAAGTGCCTGACACCCCCATGTAGGCCAAAGCCCAGCTGCTAATGCCCAGGCTCTATCAACTCTTCTGAACCACAGCCTCCTCAGACCATATCCAGACCCACATGGAACCATGCGTCACAGTGCCACAGCCCAGAAAACCTGACTAAAGGAAAATTAGACATGCAGATACAATAAGGCCTGTGCTGGTTGCTCCCCTACAGGGAGAGGAGGAAACACTGGTGCCAGCAGTTTTGGGTTGGCTTTCTTAGTTGCACTTTATGTGGTTTATCTGAAATGGGGTCAGATCCCAGAGTGGGCAGCACAGATATTACAGTCCTGCTTGCTAATCTGAACTGAGTCCATCATCATTGATCTTCAGATAACAGGGAACTGGAGTCTTGAGAGACTTGAGGGATGTGTTGGAAAATGTTCTTGGCAAAGGCAAAGAAACCATTTCTCAACCAATTGCTAACAAATTGGTAACTAGCACCAAGAACTGAAGAGATGTTCTGATTCTCTCCAGACTGCAGATTCTGACTTTGGAGACCTGGCTGGGTAGTTGAACTGCCAGGAGGGGAGACAACCCCAGAGGGTTGGTACCTCTCAGCTATTCTCACCCATCTCCTTACAGCTCTGTCAACCCAGGCCAAGGGCTGGAGGCTGTGGCCCCTACCTTGTATCTACAGATAACTTTTGGACCAGATCCAGTGCCTCTCTGCCAGTCCAGAGTAGGCTGAGACTGGACTGTATGTGCATATCCAGAAACCCAGAGCCTTGTGCCCACTTGCAACATCTGAGGATGCAGCAGCTGGAGATAGGCCCAAGATAGGGAGTGAGGTCTCAGGCCTGTCTCAGACATACACAAGGGATGAATGGGGTGTGTCTCTGGAGGAGTCCCCGCCTTTCCACCCAGAAACCTGGACCTTCCAGAGTTGGAAGGGCCATCTAGATTGAGATTGTCTACATATTACAGGCAATATATTTGAGCCTTTAAGCCTTCAGTTACCTCCCAGCCTCCCACCATTGCCAATGGGTCCTAGAGGGAGAGGCCAAGCTCAGGGCATGGGAAGGAGTGTGGCCCTAGGACACAGTTCAGATTCATAGGTGGAGAGTTTCCAGATGCCCCAAGACCCAGCCTGGCCATGTGCTGCTGCCAGGGGGAGATCATGGTGCCTCAAGCCAGCTACTTCAAAGCAGATGGCTGGAGTAGCCCACTAACTGGAATTAAAAGCTACCTGGAGGTAGTAGTGAGAGGCTTTTCTAGGCTCTTGCCAAAGAACTTAACTCTCATGGTTTCTGGGTGGCAGATTCACCAGGTGTGCCATCTTGAGCAGCCAGAATAACTCCCTGTTCCACAACCTGCTCCCAGGTTGCAGCCACAATTTTAACTAGCCAGGCCTTCCCTGTTCCATCCCTGTCAACTTCATTCCCTGCTTATAAAATTCTAGGGTTCCTCCAAGGTCTACCTCACGTTCTTCCTCCTCCAAGGAACCCTGCCAAACTACTCCAGATCATGCTGACTTTTCTGTGGCACATTAATTCACTACCACTTTCGGAGATTGTAGATGAGCAACTGGAACCAGAATTAAAAGAATTAGCTATTTCCAACAAATTGCATCTACAGCCAGACTCACACGAAGTAATTAATCAATTCATTCAGCTCATGCGCCCCTAAAGAAAGACCCTACTTCTCAGATGGCCCTGTTGGCCCTGAGCTTGCCACACAAGTGCATAATAAAGACTTCTTAGAAGAAGGATATATCACCCTGGTCTTGGAGGAATAGACTGCCTTCCTTATAGCCTAGGGCACAGCAGCTTTCTCCCTAGCAGGCAAGGTTTCTTCTCCATGCTGCCATCTCCCAGGTGTCTCCTGCTATCAGCTATTCCCTAAAGTTGCCTTGGGACAAAGGGCAGAGGTATGTACTCAGCTCCAGCCCTGCCCACTGTTTGTCCCCTATTAGAGGAAGAGAGATCAGCAGGAAGAGGATCTGACCTCTGGGGTGGCCACAGTCTCTCCCAAGGGCTATAGAGGCCCCTGGACAGGCAGCAGAGGCCTGCAAGGGACTTCCCTTCCCTTCCCCTCCCTGGGCCCCATGGAAAGGAGACCGGAAGAAGGGCCTCAGAAGCAGGCATCCAGTACGGGGCTGGCCAGACAGGGAGGCCCCTGGGGTTGCAGCTATCAGCCTGAGACCAGGCTCCAGGAAGGAAGGAAGGGCAACTCTGGCCCAGGCTGAGATAAGGAGGGGAGCTGTGCTCAGCACAATGGGCTCCCACAAGGCTGGGAGGCCCCCAGTCAGATTTTGCCCCAACTTGGCCTCCTGTCTGCTCACACAGCTCATATAAATATTTACTGGTGTTTATATTCCTGGTCCCTGTGTTCCTTCTGAAGCCCTTTCCTATGATCCACAGATCTGTGTGCCCCTGAGGCCCCAGGTCCATCCAACAAGGGCTCTGGGCACTGTTCTCTCTCAATCAAGCCACAGGGACAGGCCCATCAGGACAAAGCTGCCCCCTTGTCCCAGCCCCAGGACAAGGAAGCTATACTAATCCCTCTGTGGGTGAGGAACTTACGGGGCCCGGTCGTGGGTGAAGCCGTTCTGCCTCTGAGGATTGATTGGTGGAAGGACAGGCTTGCTGTTGATCTCAAGTCCTCTCCTCAGGGTCTCCCGGATCTGCTCCGTGTCTGCAATGACACCACTAAGTTGCCTGATGGTCCTTTGGGCTCCCAGCACCCCCAGCCCTGGCTTTGGAACCTGGCTCTGCAGATATACTGGGGAAAGGCCCCCATGACGGCCATGAGCCCACACCACCCAGTTAGCCATGAGATCTGAGCAAGTACAGCATGAGGACGCAGGGAAGATGAGGCACCATGCTCTCAAGAAACTTCTGGTCTGAAGAGCACCATTCTTGTAGAAGACAAAAGATGGCCTCTGGGCTTCAGAAGGGCACCCTCCAAGACAGACCTCTTCTCCACTGTTCTTTCCCTTCCTGTGTCACAGGCCCTAGGTGTTACTCTTAATATAGCTCCAGACAGTGACTGACAAGGCCTTTGCCACTGCCCAAGACCACACTCAGGGATTCTGCCCACTGAAATGGATGCCAGTAACAGCTGCAAGTGGCTTGTCATGAGTGGGCAGATGTCTAACACAAGTTTCTGGGTTCTGAGTGGTCAGCTGGTATCTGGCCCTGCCAGCCCTTCCCTTTGGGCCAGTCAGTGGGATGCCAAAGTCATCTCCTCACCTTGGTTCAGGGAACACTGCATCTCTATGGGTCTGCCAAGGGCCAGGATGTGAGAGAGGAATCCCTTAGTGGGATTATTTTTTGCAAGGTACTCTGCTTGTCTTTGGGGTGAAGTTTACTAGTCTGGACCCCTACATTGAGATTTTAGTCTAAGATTTACCTCTGCAAACTACAAAAAGATACAAAAAACAAAATAATGTCGGTTGCTCAAAGAGTGGGCTTAAAGTAGGTGATGGAGGTGGTTATTAATTTTTCTAACTGCTTGACTTATTACAGTGGCATGGATTACTTTTATAATTTTTTTTAAAAGCCAATAATGGTTGAAATTTTGAACAAGACTATGAATCTCTCTTCAAATTACTTCTTTCATCAAAAGCAACCAAATGATTCTAATAAGTGGGTACTTTTTCTCAGAAAAAGCAGGAAGGAAAGAGAGAGGTCAAATATTTGTACTAGGAGTTTCAGTTGTCCTTTATGGAAAGAGAAAACCTTTTATAAATGTAAATAGTTTATTCAGGACTATAGGGATCTTATTCTTCAAAAAATAAGAAAAGGTGGAGGAATAGAGAAAGGAAGTGGAAAAAGAAGCTGTATACACGTGTATGTGTAAATGGATGCTTTTCTTTAAGAATTAATTAGGGATGCCCTTTGCAAAGAAGAACAACTGTTTCTACAGCTAAGACCAGCACAGTGAGCTTCCAACAGGAGCGCCATATCCTCCTTCTTCAAAGCCCCATCCAGAAGGCAATGGGTACAGGGTGCCCTGCCCATAGCCCCTTACACTGTGTATCTGCAGGACAGTGGGCAGGGAAGTTTTTGAGCCAGCCTCATACTCAGGCCTCTCTTGTCTCAAGCCTGGGAGGGCCTGAGACCAGAGCAATCCTTGGGTCTGGCATGGCTTTCAGGCCAGAGCTGGGCCCTGTGTCAATTCTGTGGGTGGCCGACGCCTGTTCTCTTGCACTTGGGTGGACTATGGTCTTTTCCTGTAACTGTTCTATGGCTTCCACTTACCTCCATGCTCAGATTGCAAGGGGCAAATCTAAAACACAATGGTCGTTGCTGGTGGTACATTTAAAATACACACAGGAAACATGAAAAATGGGCTAATAAAGTTCCCTTAATACCACCCTGCTGGAAGACTTCACTTGCTGTTTAAATCCTGCCAGGAAAAAAGCTATTGAATGGCTGTTTTTGTTAGAGACCCATCCTAGAGAGCCTGAAAACTGGCCTGGGAAAATGGAAAGAGGAAGGTTAAGTGACGGCTCCCACCTTTGCCTGACAGCCTCCGTGGCTGAGTGCCAATACAGATACTCCGGCTGTCCTCATCGTCCTCAGGAGGCCGGCTCAGGTCATCCCAGGCACACTTGGCGCTGACACCACTCAGGTTGGAGCCGTCTGTCTCGATGCCTTTGTCAACTCTCTCCTGCTTGGAAAGAATCAAAGAGCCAGAGTTCCTTCAGCGAACTGGTGGCCCAAGGTCACTACCACCTTTTCAGTATTTCTGAAATACCTTGTAGGTGCTAAGCATGGGACAGGCGCTGGAAGAGAAGGATCTCTGGTCTTGTTCTGCCCTGGTTACTGATGCATGATGGTCTCTGCCAGCCACTGGACTCCTCCAGGGGAACCAGGGATCAGGGGAAGCCAGGAGGCATGGAAATCTCAAGGAAAGCTTCTCCTCTATCTCAACCTTCCAGTGAAATGACCTTCACACCTGAAACAGGAGCCCCAACTTTACCCTCCCATGCTGGCCTGTGGAACTGATGTGGCAGAGCCAGGTACCAATTCCCTGAGGAAAGGCAGAAACATTCCTCTCCTCCCTGATCATCCAGGAAGGACTCCCTCAGTCACTGATACAGAGGATGGGGAGGGAGTGGTGGGGGGTGGGGCAGGTGGGAGCCTGCCACAGGCAGGAAAGGCCAGGACTCAGCCCAGCTTCTCCCTGACTGCACCTGCAGTTCCCTCTTCTAACAGCAGAGAGTGTGGTCATGCAGCAAAGCGCCACCAGAGAACAGAGGGGCAGGACTTTGCCTAGCTGTATCACTAATTTGTTTGGCAAAGGACTTTGGATGGAGTTTCTTTTCTATTTCTTAGATTTGAATGGGGACCTGGAGGGTAGTGACCATCTGCAGACCACGCCAGAGGCCCTGTCTTCATAAAGCCTCTGCACAGGCGTTGGCACTGCTGAGTCCAAACACTTTCCAAATGGCCTCAAGGAAGAGCTATACCCAAACATCCCTGGATTTCTGGTAAAACACAGTTTAATCCAAAAATGCTGCTCTTTGGATTAAAGGTCATCTGGAAGGCTCTAGCAACCTTGGTCACAAACAGTCATGTGGGCCAAATAAAGCCCCTAAGTGAGCACCTCGATGAGAGTCTGTACCTCCCTGTTTCCCTGACCCTCTCCCTATAGCTCTGCAGGCACGAAAATGGCCTGCTGCTCAGCAAAGAGCCTATCTGGGGAAGCACAGGGTGAGCTTACATAAGGTCTTTATTTCTTGAGACCAGTCAACTGATGGCCCTACCCTAACACCTCCTTCCCATCAAAGCCTGGGCAAAGCTGGGGATTCTGAGCAATGACAGGGACAGACTAATGACAGAGAGCAGCTCTGTGTTCCAGGCAGGAGTATGTAGGCCCTGGTTTGCTCAGGGTAGAATCTGAGCTTTCCCCTCTTCACCAGCAGCCCTGAGGCCCCTCACCTAAGCAAATAACTGAGGATACCTCTTGGCTCAACCAGTTCATCCCACTTGTTTTATAAGTAAAAAAGAAAGAGTTCAGAGAAGTTAAGGGACTTGTTTAGGCATACAGCTGGCTAGTAGTAGAGCTTGGAACAAAGGAACAGGAGCCAGCTCTAGCTCTAACTAAACCACCTACAAGCAGGCCCCAGACCAGTACAAGCAAGCACAGAGGAGTTCCCAGTTGCTGCACACAGCCATCAGGAAAGGAAGCTGGACTTTCTCATCAAGGTTCCCCCTGCTTGCTTTTAAAGACCACTAGGTGCTCTGGGTCCTGCTGGCTGGTCTCAGGGTAGCCTGAAGACCAGGAAGGAGAACTGTTCTTGGCGTACAGAGAGAAAAAGCTGCTTGCCCTACTAGTTCAAAGGACCAGATTCTTTCTTAGTACTTGGCACTTATGACAGAGGCCAAACAACAGCCCACAGTGCCCCATGCTGGATCCCAGTGTGGTGCAGAACAAGGGCTTAGGGAAACATGGTCTTCAGAATTCCTGGTTCTTGTATAAGCAGAAGCTACAAGGAAGCCAAGTCTAAAGCAGAGATAAGAGAGGATCCTGGAAGCGATCTGAAAACTTAAGTGTTAAAGGCACTAGGAAAATAGAGGAGCATCATCTGTGAATGAGTAGGGTTTCTGCCCAAAAATTCACAGGCCTGCAATAAAGAACCAAGGGACTGCTGGCTCCATGTCCACCTGCTATACCTCTTCCCTGATACCTCTCATCCCTCCTAGAGGACACATAACTCCTGGCAGCTGCTTGTGACCCACCAGATCTTTATACAGGCATAAAAGGTTCAGAGATGGCAATGACCTGCAGTTGGCAATGGAAAGTAGAATGAGGCAGACATGTGCCAGACACATCATTAGCTGTCTGCTGCTCCTGCTTCATGAGGAGCCCACAAGAAAGGAAGCAAGGTTCTGTGTGGCTTTCAAAATTCACTGCATGAAGAAAGAATGCTTCTAAAAAACCCAAAGATAGCACTGAAAGGCTGTATAGCAGGGCCACAGTGAGCAGGAAACTGCAGACCTATATATATAAAGATTTCCTTTACACATTAGGGAATGCCAGCCTACCCAGGGGAGGAGCTCCCTGTCTGCCCAAGATGAAAATGTATCTAAAAGGGAGATGGAATCATTAGACCAATTAGGGCTCCTCCCTGCAGCTGGGCCATGGGGTCAATATCACCTATTCTTTCTGTTACAGAGCGTGGCAGTGGTGTGGTGGCTTCCTGAAAGGAAGTCTGTGTTCTTTTAAGAAGGGGGAAGTAGGAGGATGAATACTAGGCAAGCAATATCCACTGTATTAATTTTACTTAGTGGCAGGTGATCCTATTTTTTAGTCATGTTTATTAATGTATGATTTGCATACAATAAAATTCATCCTCTTTAAATGCAAAAATACATGTATCTGAGACAAGCTTTCCTGGCCTGAAATCTCTGCTCCCTTATGCACTCTGCAGAATTCAGGAAACAAGTTCCAAATCACACCATATTTTACTCACTCACAAATAAAGCTCCTCCGTTTTCCCAGGATGAAAGCCAGTGTTATTTGGAAGAGGCCTAGGCACAGTGTGCTAGAAAGGTTTTCCTCACTCAAGACATACTTGCAGGTGTGGATCGATCTCAAATATGGTCTCTCCCCTCCGCATGTCAGTTATCAGCCAGGGGCCGCCAGCGCTGTGGACAAGGAAAAGGGACAAGATGATAACTGAAGGTCTGGGACTGATGGGCTGAGCCTACAGCTTGCCCTGTTTGCTGCCCCAGACCCAGAACACAGGGAAGCAATTAGTGGTCAGGGGCCATCAGGAGCCCTGATGTGAAAACCCAGTGCTTGAACAGCAATGTGAGGGAAAGCCCACACATGGGAGGAAGGAGGTACTCCCACCCCCAGATCCAGGGAGCCAGGCCACCCCAGAGGGCGTGGCTGTACTCACACAGGTACTGTTCGCAGCAGCTCTAGGATGCCCTGCCCGTTCCACTGCTGGGCTGCGTGGAGTTCCTCAGTGCAGACGCCAACAATCTGAGACCCAGGGACAAGATGCCACCGTACATTAATAGCTATTCTGCCCACCCATCCAGAAGGTTAGCTACCCAGGCTCTCTCAGGGTCACTCCAAGTCGGGGGACCACAAGTAGGATCTGAGCTCAGGGCTGGTGTGTAAAAAAATGGGGTTGTTTCCTTAGGAGGGAAGAGCTGCCTGGCTAGGAGGCACTGAGGTCTGACCCTTGACCTGCTGTGGTGGGTCAGGTATCTGGGTGACAGTCTAGCCATAGATGGCAGATGAGAAAATCAGGGCCCTGCCAACTCAGGATGGGTTACCAGGCCCATGTCTCTGGAAGGGGAGGTCTAAGGAGATGTTCCTGCCTGGTCTCAGATCACAGGGAATGTAACAGAGGATATTTTGAGACCACTCAAGCTTGGAATGATGACAAAAGGGCCCCACCAGCCTGCAGAGAAGTTCCCTTAGTTGTCAGGGGCTGGGCCTTTTGTGTGAATTTCCAGGGAAACAACTGTACCTTCATAGACCCCATCATGATCACAAGCAAGCCTGGCTACAGCTGGGGTAAAGGCCCACCCTTTCTGGGTTGGGGCAAGTCTGTCCCAAAACTGCGTTCCTACTGGGAGGTCCTGTGCCTGTGGCTGTCTGAGTCTTTACTTGCTCACAGAAATACTCAGCTACAGCCATTCTCTCCTACCCAAATGGTCCCTTCCCCTTCCCCCTTATTCCATCTCAGCAGGTTAAATCAGACCATCTGAACCTACCAGACAACCATCAAGAGACAACAGAAAATGGGAGAAGACCAAAGGAAATCACCTGTTCCCCTCACTCCCCTTACCCAGGCCCTCCTGCCCTACCAGGACTTTTCCCACAGAAATGTTGGCTCAAGCCCATGTCCTACCAGTGCCTCACCTGGAGAAAGGTAACTACCCCAAAGGGTGTCTGCACAGGTTGCATCTGCGGGTCCTCTGTCAGCAGCATATGCTGAATTCTTGACTCACTGTTATCCAAAGGGCTGTGCCAGGACACATGGTCCCCGCTGCAGAAGGTGTTCTCTGTGGGAGAAACATGAGGATCCTCAGTATTTGAGGCCCTGCACCCAGGCCTGGAACCTGACCTGGAATCTGAACAGCCCAGGCTGGGATATTTCCCAGCCTTCCAGGATAGTTTCTCTGAAGGAGAGGAAGCATTCATTCAGATGGGAGAAAAGAACATAGATATTTCCCCAAAACCAAACGTGTTCCTGCTCACTATTTCCAGAGCCTTTGGTAGAAAGGGCAGGCTGCTAGTGTGGGTGCTCACTTGGCCTGGCAATTCCAAAGACTTCTGACATCTGCTTTACTCCCCCAGCATATTCACTCATTTGGGGGTGGGGAGGAGCTATGAGCAGGTCTGCCAAAAAAGAATAAGGTACTTTACTGTTGGGCCAGCTGGCCAGAAGTCCTCAGGGAGGCTGGTGGGCACTGATAGCCCCTCACCCTGGAAAAACAGACCAGGATTTCTGTGCTGCTGAAATAGTGTTCAAAAGGGAAATGCCAACCTTGGAGGGCCTTTGAGATGTGTCACCAGTTTCCCATAGGGAGACAGATTGAGAGATTTCTGAGGAACACTGGAGGCTTCAAGTAAATGAAGGTCTGGATTGTGGCTCACCACCTCAGCAGAGATGTACAGCCTGGAGGGGTGGGTGGTTCCATGAGCAAACAGACATTGTGCCCAGGCTGCCCAAGAGAAATGTGTAGTCACTTCACAGCCTCACTACTGCACTTCATATAGGCCCATTACTTTAAGAACACTTTTTTAAGGTAGCATAATCACAATGAAGTCTCCCACCACTCCTGACTCTTCTAGAGTACCCTTCCAAAGGTACTCTGCACTTATCAGCCTATACGCTTCTATAGGTTCTCTCAATTTTACTTATTCTAATACAAATAGCACCACACCATTCTGCACAATTTCACTTAGTTATGTATCTTGGGGAACACTTCATATGAGCATATAGAAAGCTATGTCATTCTTTAAATGGATATATGGTAGTTCACTGTGGTCTCTCACTTAGGCTGGGAATCTCAACAGTTGAGGTCCCTTCCCTTTATATCAATATTTATGGCGAGGCAGCACACACACACACACACACACACACAACCAGAAGGCTCCCAGGGAGATCCGAGAGAACCTCTGCTCTCACTTGTCTTGTTCTGAATACTAACACCCTCTTGTGTCATGCGAAGTGAAATAACCCTTTTTCCATCCAAGAGACAGGCTCAGGCTATTGGTCCTAACCTCAGAAGCATGTATTCAGGAGGAAGAAGGAAGACTGCTTACTTCAGAGAAAAGGAGTAACAAAGGGGAGAGAAGGCCCAGCTCCAGGTAGAACCAACTAGAAACGCTCAAATTTCCCAACTCCTGCTCTTCCCAGATTCCCTTTACTTTTACAGAAGTATCTACAGTTTTCATGATTTATAAGTTAAAAAAAAATGCAACAAAAAGGTTGAACTGGTAATTAAAACCTTCCCCCACAATAAAAAAGATCAGGCCCAGTAAAGCAATCTACAGATTCAATGCTATCCCTATCAAAATACCAAAAGCATTCTTCAACGAACTAGAACAAATAGTTCTAAAATTCATATGGAACCACAAAAGTACTATATCAAACTAAAAAGCTTCTGTACAGTAAAGGACACCATCAATAGAACAAAAAGACATCCTACAGTATGGGAGAATATATTTATAAATGACATATATGATAAAGGGCTGACATCCAAAATATATAAAGAGCTCATGCACCTCAACAAACAAAAAGCAAATAATCCAATTAAAAAATGGGCAGAGGAGCTGAACAGACAGTTCTCCAAAGAAGAAATTCAGATGGCCAACAGATACATGAAAAGATGCTCCACATCACTAGTCATCAGAGAAATGCAAATTAAAACCACAATGAGATA